AGCCTCAGTGTATCGAGCGACGGGGACGAGACGTTTAGTCCCTTTAGTCCCAAAGTTTCAACTCACAAGGTACTAAAAACACTGCCATAACCTGATGATGTTTACACTAAATCAGATCCATATTACCTCAATCATTTCATAGTATCTGTGCTAAGCTGTGTGACCACTCGTTCTCTTTTTCAATTCAGTTCGGTTTTATCCAGTGGCACCAAATCCCTTCTGATCTCATTTCAAGTCACTTCAAAGGGAACTGTCCAATTCAAGATAATTAGAATCCCAATCATAATCCAATCCATTCATTGTCCGTACCGCATATTCCAAGAGGGAACCGAACGGGGGAGAGGCCGGTCTCCAGTCCATCACAGACATGAAGATCTATACACTCACACACATTTTGGTTGAGGTTAAAAACAGTGGGAGAACCCACACAGACAAAAAGTTCTGGTTGCTTAGGAGACTTGAACGAGGAACCCTCTTGCTGTGAGTCCACAATGCTAACGGCCACACCACCATGCCGTATAGTCTAATCCAGTCTAATCAAATCAGATTAATTACATTCCAAATTGGTTTTATAATTACAGATTGAATTAAAAATGGAAAGCTTTCCAAGCTAATGAAAAAGTCAACGTGAGGGGACTGGGGGAACAAAAAACAACTCCCATTTACATCAAAACCAGAACCAGGAGGGGTCACCATCTTCCTGGACCGACTTGGGGTTGAAAGAACTGGTCTCTTTGGGTCTCCAGTATGCAGAAGTTGAATAACGTTTGCCCGAGAATAATAGTGGCCCGAGAACTGAGCCTTGGGGGACTCCACAGGTCAATGGATTAAGCTTTAGATATGTTCTCCCCAATGGAAACAACAATCCTCCTGCCTTCAAAATATGATCTGAACCAGCTAAGAACTGGTAACACAACCCAGTTTTTCCATCTATCCAGAAGGGTTTTGTGGTCTGAACTAAGATCCAGCAGCACATGGGCAACAGATGTTTCACCTGGTTTAGTTTTCAAATGAATCCAGACTTTGATCAGCTCTGTCTCAGTGCTATGACTTTTTCTGAAGCCAGACTGGAATCTGTCCTAACCTTTTACATTTTCTTCACAGCGACCGGGTTCAGTCTAAGTTTGTAAGTCGCATGTGTGTGTGTGTCCAAGTTTGAACAATCTGCATGGGCTATCCGCACCGAGATAAAGATGAGATTTTATCACAGTTGCTTGAAACATTTCTCTGTGTCAGTGCGATCTGGTGACTGTAACACACAGACGAGCAGTGTTCCAGTTTATTTTTACTTTATGGTATCAGGATCTGCCAAATAAACCAGATTTAAGATCTTAGAGTTTGCAGTGGGATGTTAAAAAAAGTTTAATGAAAGTGGATGAGTGCATGGCACTGCATGTGTGTTCGGGACACGTGTGTTTTCTGTTGGCATTTTTTAGATAATTAGTTAAACCAAATATATACAAACAGATTTAACCAGCATGTTGATGGAAGAACTGAAAAATGGACGTTTGTCATTTCAAATATTTACGGTTACGGTTAGGGTTAGAATATAGCAACAATTCAGGGTTAGAAACTGAAATTCCAGGTTCATAAACCTTATTGATATCTGAACATTAAGTGATCGACTCTTTTGTGTGTTAGTTGTGTGCTTTTGTTAAACAAAGTCCCTTTCTTCAATGTTTAACGTTGAGGTCAGAATAAATACAGATCCTCTTTTAAACACCAGTCATCTGAGAAACATTTAAAATGAAACATTAGCATGGTAGCGTTAGCGTGGTAGCGTTAGCATGGTGGCGTTAGCGTGCCGACGTGGGCACACCTCCCTGAAGAAGTGGGTGGATTGCCTGTGTCTCATTTGCATTTAAAGAGACAGGCACTCCAAAGCGAGCGCTCTGAACGGGGCTGTTTTGGGTTAGGGTTAGGGTTAGGGTTAGAGTTAGGGTTAGGCAGGGGGACTGAACTGCTATTGGGCTTCATCCTTATGGGATTTTGACCAAAGCTTGTCACAGACATTACATTAAGACACCAGGGAACTAGTTTAACTTGTTTAAATAGGGTATGATATGTCTCCTTTAAACACCAGGATGTCTCTGTTGTGAGTGTTTGGATCATCCTGCTTAATGAAGTAGTTGTGAAAGAACTCATAATATTCAATGAAAAAACGTTCCTGTACAGTCAAGAAAAATAGAAATAGTTTGATACACAAACTTGGGACTGAACTATTTGGCTTTGTGAGCATTTGAAGGCTGCTACTGGATCACTGACATGAGAGACGCTTTTAATGTTTGCTTGTCTTCATGAGGTTTTTTTTGTGTGCTTTATCGATTTGGTCCCAGCTCTGAGCAGGAAATGTGTCCACATTCTTTGCCCAGGGTCAAATTGTTGTGGGTCCATGTTTGACTCCTCCAGAGCAACTATCTGATTTGCGATTTGAATGGACATGATATTGAGACATGGAGAGGGTGGTGTCTGGTTGGGGAACCTCAGGGTCACATCTCTGCTTTTTGTAGATGATGTTGTTCTAGGGTCAGCTCCTTCAAATCCAGAAAAAGATGGAATGATGATTGAAAACGAATAGTAAAATCTATCCATCATCCATTCACTTAAATAATAGGGATAGTGGATGCATGCATGTCATTTTTTTGTTCTATTTTGGGAGAAAGCCTTTCTTTCAGATGCTTTTTGAATCAAGCAACTTGAGATTGTTACTGAATCTTAAATCAAGCTTTATTTTCATGAGAATTTGGGGGACAGATGTAAAAGGTCTTATTTTAACAGTTATATACCTCATGTTAAGATTTCTCGCCTATTTGAGACAAAAAAGATAAGGTTGTGCTTGATTTAGGATTATAGTGTAGAGTTGAACACTTAAAACAAGAAATTCACTCTTAAAACAAGATAGATTATCTAACACTTCTAAATATAAGTTTTTTTTCTCCTGATAAGAATCAAATAAATTGCAGTACCCATGTCAAAAAGGGTCAGATGAAGTGGTTTGTGCTTCTGGTTATGCATCTTATGAGGATTTTTCCTGTTTGCCGTGTGTTTTTCTGCACACGTTTTCTGTACATCATTTAGTTTAAATCTAAAAATAAAGTGACTCCAAATTTTTCTTTCTCTTTTAGATCACAGAGAGGACAGAGTCTCTAAACCGCTCACTGAAGAAAAGGTGAATATTCTCTTTAATATCCAGATCAAGTTCAAATAATGAGTGAAAATGTTCTTATTTTGAGAAGTTTTCCACTTTTCCAAGTTTGTTCCACTCATTTAACTGCCATGAGGTATTTTCTTTTTTCTCTGGTATATGGCTTCTCAAAGAGAAGTTAGAATTTCTACTTTGAATCAAAATGGGCAACTTATTTTAGTCTAAAATTACTTGACTTTTTAACCAAAACAAAGCAATTTATTTTTCACTTCAAACAATCTACATTTGAAACTTAAAAATACCTCAATATTTATTATAAAGTCTCTGCGTGATCATTTTCCCCTGAGTCATATTTATGCGTTTCGCTGCTGGCTAACCTTTGGCTGTCTGAGGATAAATATGATGGAAAAGGTCAGAGGGGATCTCTCGGAGCATCGCGCTCCTCACCAGTGAATTGTTGCTCCGCTTAACGTTTGCCAGATGTTAGCGGCTGTGTTTTCTCTGGTGAACGGTGAGGGATGGCGGCTCCAGGCAGTCTGAGTTTCTGGTTAACTCCCAGTAGCAGGGGCGCCTCAGTGTGGATGCTTTCATTTTCTAACAAACGCATCGGAACGCACGCTGCCCAAACCTTCAACATCTTTTTTTTTTATCAGTAGAGCTTTTATTAATTGTGTTAGACAAGAAGAGTTGTTTGTTGTGGTTGATGGGTGACAAGAGCTCTCCTGCATCAGAATCAGAATAAGGTTTATTGCCAAGTAGGTTTTTGACTTACAAGGAATTTGCCTTGGTCTTTGGTGCACAACACTTCTATGAGAAGCAAGGAAATACAATGTAGAGATAAAAATATAGAACAGAAAATATACAACTAAAAAGTACAATCTTTAAAAAATATAGATCTGAGAATAGAATATGGATATATTACAAATATCAAAAGTATGTATACAGGTGTGAATGTACAAATGAATTGAAATGTGCAGTGGGGAATGATACAATGTTGAATGAAACATAATATCCCTATTAGCTGTATGGCATGTTTATCTGGAAATATCCAGAAAGTTTCCCAGTTGAAACTTACTAGGTCAAAAGTTTTAGCAAGTTTGAGCAAAGAGAGAACACGAACAAATGTCATTTTTTAGGATAGATTAAGTAATGTCAAGTATCTAATGCATTAAAGGCAGAAGAAATATATTCCAGAGAAAAACTTAAATTCAACTTAGTGTCACAAGGGTGGATCTTAGGGAGGACTCAGTCGCGGAGACTGGTGAAAACAGGGTTTATTGTAACAAAAACACACTCAAAAAGAGTGGATGTCCAGACAAAATTCAAAACAAGGCTGTGACAAAACTATGAACAAAGTATCAAATCAAGATTAACCAGACTGTGAACACAAAGTATCAAATAAAGTAAACGAGGCTATGGCAAAGTATCAAATAAAGATTAACAAAACTGTGGCAAGGCTGTGACAAAAACATGGCTATGGCAATAAAGTAAATAAGACTATGGCATGGCTTTCACAAAAATCAAACCTTACGTGGCGAAAAAGACGAAATGACGAAAACACACTGGCACAGGACATGGGAAACAAATACTATTTAAACACATGAGGGAGGGGAACCCCAGGTGTACACAATAGGTAATCAACACATGACGACACACCAGAAATTCCCCCAGACATGACACTTAATGGTCACAGTGAGAAGTGTGATTAATTTGGTTTTGAATCTGTACGTCCAGTTGTAACTGACTGCAATTTTTTGTGGGGTTTTGGTGAATTAGCAACAGCTTCAAGAAGACGCAACCTCTCGTTCTGCTGGCCAAGATCGATGACCGGATGGAGCAGTATGCCCACGCAGTGGAGGTTAGCTCACAAACACATGCATTTACTCCACTGTCATCATGAACCCTCGCTGTTATTTCCCACACCTACCCTTCAGATTCAGTCCCATCAGTCACTGGATGATGTTGCGAAAAGCAAATATTTTCCCGATGTTTTTCATTTTCCGGTTGGACTTATAAATACCTTAAATCATCCACAGTGAGGTTAAAGGGCAGCTTGAAGATGTTCTTCAATTCTATTTTGTTTTTTATTGCTACTTTTTTATTTGTATAAGGGAGACAGAATGCCTTAACTAAGTGGATCAAATTATAAATGATAACATTTTAAGAGCTGATTTGTATGACATAATGTTAGGACCCTGGTACTTTGAACATGGGTCCTGTAAAATCAGCACTTTATTCTCAATATTCATTAAGGAATGCAATTATTTAATTTTTCTTTGCAAATCTTTTAGAAAATATGAAAGGAAATATTAAAGATTATGATCAAAACATCAGTAACAGAAAGCCTTCGGGTGGTGTTTTTATTGCACTATTCAGAGCAGATCAGATACAAACATTCACTTCAAAATGACGGATCTTGAATTGTTTATTGGGTTGTTTCTTTTTCTTCGCAGAACTCTCAGGAACCTCGGCCAGTGAGAGCATCCCTCAGCGACCTTCCCAACTCGCCGGAAGTGGTTTCCTCCACAAAAGGCCTGTTTGAAGCTGGAGAGGCCTGGAGCCAGAGTCCGAGCAAAGGACCAACCTGCAAGGTGAGGAAATGCTCCCACAGCTACCTGGAGCCAATCCCATGTGTCAATGGGCATTATGTGGGGTATAGACTGGACTATCACATAGAGATACAACAACACAATCCAATCCAATCCACCTTTATTTATATAGCACGATTTAAACAAACGCAGGGTTTTGCAAAGTGCTGCACAAAAACATATCCAGAATAATAAATAACACAGTAGAAATTCAGCTAAAAGTTAAAAAAATATGCATGAGTATACATAAAATCAACGCTCTCCATGGTGTCAAAAGCCAAAAACCAAAGAAAAGAGGTGGGTCATTTAGATGATTGTTTATTACCCTGGTCCCCAAGGCCCACATTCCCACCTGATTCAGAGCTTCTGTAGAGCTTGTGGAGTAGAGAGTAGATCCATACCTTTGAATTAGATGTGCTGGGAAACTTGGGAAACATCCAAGAGAAGCATAGTTAAGAAACACTGATTTAGAGCCTTTAAATAGAGCTAACATGCATATTTTTGGAACTTTTGGAGTACCAGGAGAGAAGCCACACATGTAAAAACTTGGAGTCATTTTTCTTTAAATCACCACACCACCATGTAACCCTAAAACCAAACTTCACACATCCATTTGAAATTTGTTATGTAACATCAAGACCTTTCTGATTATGTGACCCTCACAAATGCTTCAGTGTATAAGTTCTGACTGAAGAAAAAATAAGATATCGGAAGTAGGAATGATGGCCTAGTTAGTTGTTTTTTGTCACTCCGGACCTTTCAAGAAAATCTCATAATCCAAATCTCTCCATGTCATTATATTTTATTCAAACTTTAATTAAAGATACTTAATCGTATTATTTGTATGACCATGCCAGATAAACATTTAAATGGAAGTCTAATGTCTTAATACACACGATTCTCATGCATTCTTTGTTTAATCAATCAGGACACAGAGGGCCTGAAGGTGGGCGTGGCCAGTTTGATCACCCATTGGGTGAAAGGCTCTTCAGATGCCGGCGGCAAACAGTTGAACTGTAGACCCTCTGTAAGTCACAAACACAACATCTCAACCATTGGATTTCTCATTTTTGGGATAAGCATCTGATTGTGTCGAATGTCTAACTGTTTGTGTTGATTACCTCGTCAGGATGTCAAGCATGGAGATGTGATGCAGAAGAAAAACATGTGGGAGATCATTGGAGATGCATCAGGGAAGCCAGAGCAGAGAAACAAGGTTTTTGTTTTTTCATAAAAAGCTACTTTCCACCTCAGATAATTATGCTTCATTTTAAGATGTCTACCAGCAAATGTTCCTGCTCTTTGAAACTTTAGCTGTTTAAATGGCCATGATAATTATCAACCGATATTTTTAACGTCTATTAATTGGATCGCTTGACAAGCCTCACCACCCCCTAAAGTTTCATTCAGATCTTTGAGATTTGATGTGCTAAAAAAGTTTTAATACATCTGAGATTAAATGGTAAAAATGGTTCATGTTTCATCTCTCCTCAGGGTTCAACAGCCAGTAAAAAGTACAAGTTCGTCGTCACCGGTCATGGCAAATACGAGAAGATTTCTGTGGATGACCAGTAGAGAGGAGAATTCAACAGACAGACTGGTAGGAACAATAACAACAAGTGGACTAAAAACAACAGATTCAAGAAAAAAGGGCGAATCAATCTCTGACATTTTTTGATTAATTCTAATCAAGTCTAGTAGAAGTCGACAGCATATAAGGTCGACGATTTTTTCTTTGGGTGGTGCCGTTGATCATAGGACTGCCCTTAATCATGTCCACTTCAAGAAATGATGCTGTGTAAGACTCTGTTAGCTGGTGAAGCACTAGCTTGTGAATGTATTTCAGGATGAAGAGGCTACTAATTGAAGGTTGGGAGTTTGTGTATTTCTGGTAACTGTTTAGCATTGTAGCTATTTCATCAGCGGTTACAATAATCAGTAAATGCTTCCTTGAAACAAAGTGCTGCTCAAAAACCTTGAGCAGAGAACAATGTGAATAATAATGTGAATAATAAGAAAAAAAAGAAAAAGTATGACCTAAAACATGTTTATTGTGAATGTAGTAGTAAAGGAACAAATATGAAACTTTCGGATTACATAACAGCTTTAATTTGATATGATGTCCGAATGACTTTAAGACAATTGTAGCTCTTTCTTTTCAGCTAATCTGTGAATACAAACACACACTCTAACATTCAGACAGTCACACAAAGCAATTGTCAAGTATAAAGTTAAGGTTTCTCCGAGACTGCCACTGATACCGTTCATTTCCACAAAGACTAAGGCTAAACCTGTACATTATCTATCTCTCTAAAGCTTCTGCCTCCATACATTAGACATACATTGTGTTATTCTTTACTTTTTTTGTCTAGGCACTTCTCATTAGACGTAGATTAAGGAGCAGTGAAACCTCTGGCTGTTCTGTTGAAGTCTTTTGGTTCCTCTTCTTTACCTTTTCTCCCAATCAGACCCATTTCAAACACAGTAGAAATTTTCGTGACCGGCCTCGATGCTGCCTCCCTCAGCTTTTTGGCATCAAACCTTGGACTGAAAAGCAACACCGGCAGCCGGTACGCAAACGAAGGGATCTCCTTCAGCTCGTCCTTGTTCTCGTCCTTCTTCTCCTCACTTTGGTTGAGCTGGATTTGGTGCATGATGTTCTCTTTTGAGGAAAACATTTGGAAAAGCATGGCGTCCCACATCTTGGTTGCCCTGGGACTGTCTTTGGCTTGGCTATCATCCTGGTCACCGGGCGCGTCCCCGGGCTTTTCTTGTTCTCTTTTTGCCTCTCGCTGGTCCTGCCCACTGATCTCACTCTGAGAGCCCACTTCTGGAAACTGGGGCTCCTCCTGCTCCACAACCATGTGCTTCTTAAGTCGGGACCATCCGCTAAGTTTGGATTTCAAGCCTTTAGCTTTTTGCAAGACTTTTAGAGGTGACTCCGCCGCATGGAGGCTCTCATTGGCTTCCTTTCTGTCAGAACTAGGGGCAGATTTATCTACAGAAGATGTCTCTGCTTTGATACTTTTGTCTTTGTCTGTGGTTTCTGGCTCAACAGCAAGTGCTTTAACAGGCACAACAGGTGCTTCAGGACCTGGCTTTGAAACTTCAGACTTCACGGTGGTCACAGAGGCAGGTGTCAGTGGTTCCTTTTGCTTTAAAGCAACAGCTTTTATCTCATTTATAGCCTTTTTCTCTGTTGTCTGGACATTTTCTTTGCCAAAAAGTTTCTTCACTGCCTTCAGAGGATCTTGGTCACCGTCCTTAGGCAGACCACGTTTGATTTCTGTCGAATTTGTCTTTAATTTGGTTTCTTGAATTGCTGTCTTTACCACCTGTTTCTCAGAATTTGTCTTTAGTTTAGTTTCTTGAATTGCTATCTTTACCACCTGTTTCTCAGAATTTGTCTTTAGTTTAGTTTCTTGAATAGGTGTCTTTACCCCCTGATTCTCAGAATTTGTCTTATATTTGGTTTCTTGAAGTGGTGTCTTTACCGCCTGCTTCTCAGATAATTCACCCTCTACAGCTGAAGCTTTTGACCTTTCTTTAGTCACTGTTGTCTTGCTGACAGAAACTGTACTCATCTCTTGTGTTAAGATTGACCCTGAGGACTCAGATGCCTGTGAAACAACAATGATAGGGATTGAAGGGACATAAGCAGGTTTGTCGTGTCCCTTAAGCTCATCTGGATGTTGGGGGGTTTCTTTTCCTTTAAAGACCTCCACTGTTGACTGCGCCTGTTCACTTGGTTGTTGACTTCTCTCTTCCAGAAGCTCTTTTTCAGCTTTAACCCCCTCTTGCGTTGGCATCATTGAACTTGACATTCCAAATGCTGGAGAGTACGTTTTGATTCCCCCATAAGCAGCATATTCTGCTGGGGTAAGTCCTCGATAGCCAGATTTGGACTTTTGCGATACAGGGCTTTTCGGTCTCTGGCCGGTGACATGCGATGTACTAGAAGGCGATGTCCCATATGTCGGTGTCTTTGGTCTTTTATAGCCAGGTGAAATGGTCATGAGTCTGGAGGCCACAAACGTTGGAGTGGTCGGCCTCTGATAGCTTGTCACTGCTGGTGTCGATAGCACAGGTGTTTGAGTTTTGGGTCTCTGAGAACCAGATTGCGTAGTTGAAATTACTGCTCCTTTAGGATCAGGCTCTGACTTCAACTTTGTTTTACTTTGCTGAACTGGTTTATCTTCAGGTGTAATGTCAGGGTGAATATCACCATTAAGCAGTATTTCGGGAGGCTCGGTCATCTTTGCACTTTGGGCAGATGAGCTGCTCTCAGCAGAAATCGTTAGGGGGGTCTTTGATCTCCCTGTCTCTACTGTGATCGGTGGCACTGCAAACAAAAGAGGGTTGGCTCTTGAAACTTCAAAGACAGGGGTTGCGGCCCTAGTCAGGTGGTACGCTGGGGTTTTAGCCCGTCCTGCAAAGGCTCTTGATGTTTGAAACTCGTAAGTTGGTGTTTTGGCTCTATCTTGTGACGTGGATCTTTTAGTTTCAGCTATTGGAGTGGCTATTCTAATTTCAGATGTTGGAGTGGCTCTTTTAATTTCAGATGTTGGAGTGGCTCTTCTCATTTCTGACGTGGGAGTGGCTCTTCTCATTTCTGACGTGGGAGTGGCTCTTCTCATTTCTGATTTTGGGGTTGCTCTTTGGATTTCAGTCGTTGGGGTGCTTGTCTTGATTTCAGATGTAGGGGTAGTTGTCTTGATTTCAGCTGTTGGAGTGGCTCTTCTAGTTTCTGATGTTGGAGTGGCTCTTTTAATTTCAGATGTTGGAGTCGCTCTTCTGGTTTCAGATGTTGGAGTGGCTCTTCTGGTTTCAGATGTTGGAGTGGCTCTTTTAATTTCTGATTTCGGAGCTGCTGTTTTGCTTTCTGTTGTTGGCGTTTTTCTTTGTACTTCTGTGTCTAATGACAGAGTTTGAGTTGCTGTCGCTGTCCCTTTTATCACCTCAAACGCTGGACTCCAGTCTTGTTTTGTTTCCGCAGATGTTTTGCTTTGTGCTACTGTGCTGCCAATAGCAGTTAATCCAGCTGAGTCGTAGACTGGTGGTGTCCTGGACGTCTCATAATAGGATGTGCTTGCTGTGTACATCCTTATTTTGGGGACGTCGAACATTGGTTTGGGGGATTTTGAAGGTTCAGTTGCTTTAAATGTTGGACGTGGACTTTTGGATTTGCCAATCGGGGTTAGCACAGTGAGGGGTCGGATCACAGGTTGACGTGGATATGAAGTTGGACCTGGGCTCGTTGGTTTTGAGTGGGAAGTTGCAACAGCTGAGGCAGGTCGTAGACTATCACGAGTGCCTGTAGGAAGAAAGGAAGATGGCTGAGACGTTTTGCCCAATGGCGGCTGGGCGAGTTGCCCAGTAAAGGGTAGAACTCCAGATACATCGTCTAAAACAGAATGTGAAGAGGTTGAGGTGACGTGCTGCAAGTCGGAGTACGAAAAGACAGCCACCGACTGAGGCGAAAACCCAGGTGCTTTACCATACGCTGCTCGCTGTGGATAGGGAGAAGCAACATGCTGATACAGAGGCCTGACAGTGAACCGAGGGGGTGGCTGGACGCCATGGAGGCTGGGCAGTGTGTCTGGGGTCCGGGTTGGGGTGGAGTGGTCACTGTGCTCGAGGTCAGCGCTGGCTTCGTTCACAGGAGACAGGCTGGAGCGGAATAGCGTTGTGGGTTGGGAGGCCTGCGTGGAGGCTTTTTTCTTCGCAGACCTCTTGAGGAGCTTCTGGAGACGAACATTGTCCTTTCCAGGCTTGGGCAGCAGAGGGGGGGGGTACTGCTGGGGAAGCAGGCCTATCTGGGCAGCTGTGCCATAAGCAAGAGCCATGAGTGCTCCAGCACCCTGTAAAGGAAAAAAGTCATATGATTTAGAAAGACTTGAAAGGGATATTTTTTCATATGCTTATGGCCTGAATAATGTCAAAGCTCTGTCCTGCTCTCTAAAAGGAAACACTGTTTTTGGAATGCCTTACTATTTTGTTGGAAGTTCTAATTATTCTCCAGTTTATTTATCTACATCACAATCTTAAAGATGTACTCCTTACAAATAGTTTCCTTTAGCATACCTTCAGAGAGTGAGCAGTGAGGCCATCCTGGTCTACCAAATAAACTTAGAAGAGTCAATGCCCTTCAGGCATAGAAGCAACAGAGAATCCATAGACCAGAATAAAAGCAACATCTTCAGTGTTTACTGTGGGATTATGGGAATTGCTTTGTTTGTTAAGCTAGCTAAAGGACAATCAGGGCTGTTTTCTTTTGGGAGGAGGACCCGATGAAATCCAATCTTCCTTTTTAGGGGGTTGCATTTTTGCTTTCTCCAAAGTACATAAGATGATAAGTCTAAAAACTAGACTTTAACATAGCACAGGACCTGCTTTTTCTTTAAATGAGGTAGATAAACTCTTATAGGGGTTTATGTTTGTATTTAAAATATATGTTTATGTATTTAAGATATTGTAATATTGGATCAGAAGGTCCAAATTTACACTAAAAACTTCTAGTCAGCAGGTCTCTGAAAAATGTCCCCTTATCAGGAAACTAAGTCTATCTTCCTGAAGGTAACAATAAAGACATGATTGTATGAAAATATACAAAACCATTTTTTTGGGGCGGGGATTTCAGATATTAGTGTCTGATAGTCTACTATGAGGCCAATTGACAAATAAAAAATATTATGGTGCACAGAGGCAAAAATGCAATGGTCTTGTATAAGGACATAGGCTTTTAGAAAATTAAGGATATGTGCACTAAAATAAATCATCATGTACATATTTTAAGATAAATTCAACACGAACTGCATCACTATGTTTGTTCATCTCATGGCTTTTTTTGGTCTCTTTTGCAGATAGATGTCGTGGTGACTACTGAGGAGGTCCTATCTGTTCTGCTGCCTCATAGCTCACCCAATGAATCTCAGTGGAACAAACATCATCCAAAAGAGTATCCAAACTTTTTTCTGGGGTTCTGTCGTTAGTAATATGCACATATCTGACCACCAGCTTTACAGTCTGTTTGTGTAGTTTTTGGAGGTTAAGTCTTTTTAAATATCTTGACAGCTTTGGTCTGATTGTATTTTTTAAAGCTTGTTAGTCTGTATTGGTTCTAACGAGGAAATGTTAGGAAATATCTGGTGTAAATGCATCACATCTTTACTTGTTCTTCACTTGTATGCTGGTTATAAAAAAATGGCCGTGGGAATGAATAATAAAAATAGTATTTTTTTCATTCTAATGTTTCTGATGACAGTAGGGTTGTTTACCCAAATCTGACTTGATCTGGAATCAGTCACAAGCTTTACGATCAATATTTCTGATCAGTACAATCCAAATCTATCTCTTGTTTACGTTTGATACACTTACTGTGCTTCTGTAAACCATATTTTTAAAAGCCATTTTCAGAGATGCCTTCTGTATAACCTCTTTCTCTAGAATGAAATAAAAAAATCTTCTTTTTCATCTCGTTATTATCTATTGCGCTGCACGTGGAATCCATCCAAATAAAGCTCATCCTTGATTTGTGTCCAGCTGAAAATACCAGAGTATGAACCGATCATCATAAGGAACGCGTTTCATACCTGGCTCGTCTTGCCCTGGCTCACTGGACCTGTTGTCTATCTCAGCTTCCAGAAACCGGCTGCATCCTGGGCAGGTTCATCACATGGCTCACGCGTCTCTCTAAAGTCTAGATTCACCAGTGGAGTTACCCACACATGTCTCTGGAAGGAAAGAAGAAAACTGAAGAAAAGCAAAGTGACAGACAGGGAGCATATAGACTCCACTGAGTCCCAATTTGCACCTGAAACTCTTTTGATTCCACCCAAATTTGCCTCCATCATGGCCAAGTTTATTATTTACCAAACCCCAGAACCAAACTCCAGACTTCCAAAGT